CTCAGCACTGAGCGGCAGCTCTGGGAAAATCCCCGCACCGGAGAAACCAAACATAACAGCAAACTCATCACCGCAGTGAAAGGACTTTCCATGTGAGTCAGTAACGTCCACGGGTGAGCGGAGAAGGCGGGGAGCAGGAGGGCACTGAGGTGCCAGACATAGTAGCTACTCACTAAATAGTCATATTAACAAAATAAAAACATCCGTGTCGACTAGACAATGTTTTGGAAACAGGTACTAGCCAAGTTTTGTCAAAATTTTTATACTCAAAATATCCTATTATTCTAAGCAGATGGCCACTTTCTACCAAAGGAATGGCACAATTGGCACAAATGGCACAATTCTTAAATATTCAAAAGGCTGAGATATATTACTCTCCCCTTTCCTCTATCGTAACTATGGCTAACAATGATGTTTACACCACACCTAATTTCATTTGCAGGTGACTAACTTGCAGAAATCTTCATTTTATGTTCTAACATGAGAATTCAATGAGCTGGCTCAGGCCAAGCACCTCCCACACAGTGAGCTGGTTATGAGGATGAGGAGGAGGATAACGGTGGTGAAGGTGGTGATCATTTTAAAAGCCCCAGGTTTTAAGATGTAAGGTGGATAAACCCAGTGGCCTGAAACTAAAATCGGCACAGGACAAACGGGGCTTTCTTTGTTTCGGACTTAAAACTCCAGAGGGTCACAGTACAGGCTTGTTTACTTACACCTGGAGCCATTTGAAAATGCATCCGGTCTAAGTAGGTACTTAATAAATATTTCACAAAGACTGTAAATATTAGCACGCCAGGAGGATACCACAGTTTTCTTACGGGGCAACTCGTGAGCAGGAGGTTTGGAACGTCCAACAGGACCGAGGTAGACACGAGTACCCAGGAGTCTGAGATCGCGGAGGAATACCCCACACCTCATATTCTGAGGGCTGGCGCTTACCCACCTTCAGAGCTAAGGATGACAGTTGACGGTCACCAAGCACTTATTGCAACCGGGGGCTGCGGGGATGGTGTGTCAGTGGACAGGAAGAAGCCCTCCATATCCACTGCAGAACATGGGGCCCCCGGGGGACACGTTCACTTAGACGTTCGCTAAGAGGGTGGGTCTCGCGTTGGCTGTTCTTACCAGCATACATTTTTTAAAATAAATAATCAAATGCAATGTTTTCAAGCCTGTAATGTTTGTAACTAGCATAAACATCAAAACTTCAAATGGTTAGAACATTAGAAACTAGAGAAATGTAGCTGAAATCCAAAAGGGTGAAGGAGTTCCAAGCTTAAACACGGGGAAGCAAATGTAAAGAAATATTTGCTCGTACAAAATGAAAAGGTTTCCATTAAAACAAATTGTTTTATATGCCAAACTGGATGCCCGCTGCTTTTCCTGCCTCTTTCATCTGAGCCTCGCGAAAGTCGGAAAGGTCGGTTCTTATTATCCTGCCCTACTGGGGAAGCCGCGGGGTGGCGGGGTGAAGGGCACGGGTCCCGGAGTCTTCTGTCTGGGTCTGAGTCGCAGCTCCGTCACTGACCTTGACCAGGGCCTGTTAGACTCTCCCTGCCTCGGCCTCCTCATCGACAAACAAGTAGTAGCTGACTCACAGAGTCCATGCAGGGGATACCTGAATCCATACATGAGCAGTGACTACACATAATGAATGTTGTGTGTCTCAGCTGTTACCACCCTTACATACCAGGTGAAGAAACCGGGGTTTAAAATTGAATTACTTGGCTTGTAAGAAGCAGGACTGGGGCTCGAACCTGAGCAGTCTGACTTCAGACTCTGACCTAAACCAAAAGCCTGACACAGCCCCCTTTCCAGGGTGGCTCTGCAGCCTCCTCCTCCAACGTAAGTGGTCTCACCCTGCCCCGGGCAAGCTCGTTGAATGGAAATCGGAACACAGCGAGGAAAGGCCCGTCCTCCTGGCCTGCCCTACCCACGCCATGACCTGCCACAGCCCAGCACGGCTGCAGAATGAAGGATGTGGACCGAGCCGCGGGGACAGATAAGCCACGAGCCCCCACAGCCACAGAAAGGGCAGCCAGTACTGAGACGGGGGAGTGGACGTGTCTCCCCACTGATGCATTCACTGACTGAGGGCCCAGCCAACGACAACAGCCACCGTCAAACAAACACCTCACAGTGTGCCGCCTGCTGTGCCGGGCACCTTGTCTGGGCCCCAGGACGACTTGCCGAGGCAGGTGCTCTCTCCCCGTCCTCTCTGCAGGTGAGGAATGTGAGGGTGAGCGAGGCAGAGTCAATCGTCCAGGGGCACGCGGCTAAAGAGCAGAGCCGGGCTCAGCCCAGAGCTGGCTCGTAATGCATCCAATCACACACTCTGCTATAGACTGTCTATATAGTCTATGTCTACAGTCTGTTTATAGACTGTGTCTGTGTCCCCCGTCAGTTCCCACGTTGAAACCTGATGGTTGGAGGTGGCTTTGCAAGGACGTGAGAGTGGAACCTTCACCAACGAGAGCAGTGCCCTCAACGGAGACACTGAGGGGCTCCCTTACCCCTCCCCAGAAGGGCTGTCAATGAATCAATGAACCTGCAAGCAAGCGCTTGCCAAACACCTAGTCTGCAGATGCCGTGATCTTGGACTTCCTGGCCACTAGAGCTGGGAAATAAATGTCTGTGGTTTAGGCCACTCAGTCTAGAGGATTCTGTCATGGCAGCCCAAGCAGACTAAGATACTCCGCTGTGCCCTCGTGCACCAGAAACGATGAAGCGGCCCAGGTTGCAGTAGTGAGCAGCTCCCGTCCCTGGGGGAGCTGGTGCACGGAGCCCGCTGGTCAAAGACTTCAGAGACAAAGACTCCGCCACCCAAGTACTGCTCCCCTCTGCTCTGCGCTGGCCAAGTGACTTTGGGCTGGCTGTTGGTGACAATCACCATGTGCTGAGGAACTGCTGCGTGGTCCACACTGCTCACTGCTGCGCTGCACGCCCCACGAGGGCAGGGACAGGGTCCTCAGAGCCTGGTACCTGGGTCTCAGTATTTGTAGATTGAATGAATGAAAATATTCTCTCTCATCCTTACAACTATTCTGTAAAGTAAAAATTTAATCCTCCATATGTAGAAGAAATTAAGTTCAGAGAGGTTGTATCCCCTGTTCGAAGTCACACAGTTAGTGAGTTACGGAGCTGGGACTCGAACCCAGCATCTCTAGCTCCCAAATCATACTCTTTCCTCTGTATTTTTCCCCAAAAGGTAACGATGCCACTTTCCCACCTCAGGGAGGCTACTAGAAAGATCAAATGAGATAAAGTCTATGAATGCACTTTGCAAACTCTGTTCTTGCAAAGGTTGATAACTGATTTTTGACACGGAATCAAAGCCTAAAGCCAGAACAGTGCAGCTTCAGTGGGACCTGAAGCACCGAGAAGAGAGTCCTGGGGGCAGAAGAGGGCTGCCCCCAGCCCTGAAACCAAACCACCCGGCAAGCACCGGACCACCGGCCCAGGAGCTGGGTGGCAAACAGAATCCCCGGATCTGGAATTGCAGGCTCGCAGGATTATGCAGAAGGCATCCGCAACGGTCTTCCTTCCAATACAGGACCCTCCACAGATTGTCACCTCGGGTCTGCTGGAAGAAGAGTGGCAGTGTGACCCCAGGAAGAGGTGTACCACGGGTGGGGCTCAGAACCCGTTGCCCAGACGCAGTCTGCTGCACACGGCCCGTCCCAGAAGGTCTCTTATGCGCTACTGCTGTTTGGATTCCTGGGTGATCCAGCTAACCTGTAACTTCCACGGTTAAATCAAACGATTTAATTACACTTCCACGGTAAATTAGAATTTAGCAACCCCTTATATCTAAGGAGTTTTTAACGCCATGGCTCATCTCTCTATTTACTTCTTGTAATAGGCTTATCCTCATTTCCTAATAAGAACCTGTGTTCAGCATAGAAATTTGCCCAACACAATCAAAACACCAAAGCCCAAATGCAAAACTGAGGGCTAGGCAGGTTCTCAATCTCCCAAAAGATGGCTTAAAACAGACCAGAAAATAGAAAGCAATTAAATAAAACAGTAGCCACAAAAGTTGTTTTTGTTTTTTTCAGAAACGCAGGTAGAATATCAGCCTAGAGTGGCTAGTAAAGGAAAACTCTCTGTGAGCCTCCGAACCTGAATCATCAGGATAAAGGACAATCTCTTTCTTAAATACTGAAAAATTGCCAAGTTTTTTTTAAGCCGAAGATTCGAAGCAATGGAAATACTAAAAGGTGGTTTTAAACACAGTGCAAGAACGCACAGGACAGAGCGCCCACGCCCTTATTTAAGTCTCACCGGTTCAGCAGAGGGGCCACTCCAAGCCTCTGGACCACGGGCTGGTAACGTCGATGTGTGACTTGGGTGTTACGATGGGGAGAGGGCCGGACACTGGTCACACTCAGCCTGGAGGACCAGTCTTGCCTTGATGACATACAGGTTCAGCATTGTCTGATTTTAGTTTATTTTTCAAAAGAGGACAGAAGATTTTTTTTTCTTTTGGGAGATGGAAGTGGAGAGAAATACAATCTTCCGATCTCCTTCTGATTTTTCAGTGTCAAATGAAAAGACGTGGCCAAGCAACTGCCAGCTGCCAGTTTTCAGCTACAACCTTTGTCCCCCCAGAGTGACGTCATGGCACCCCAGAATAAGCCAAAATGACTCTAAAGATGGGTTCCAGCTCTCAATCCTTCAGTCGAGCACCCTTGCAAAAGGTCACTTAAACATCTCGGGGCCTTGGTTTCCTCACCTGTAAAGTGGACCTAATGATGTCTGCCTTATTTATTTCAGGCAGTTTTTCCATGAGTTAAATAAAATAAGCTTTTCAGAAGTGAGGGACATTCAGCTCTATGTCCCCAGGGCCTGTCCTCAATCAAAACAGAACAGAATAAAGTTTGTTGAACTGAAAAGCACTTTGAATACAGTGAAGCCCGTATCAAACGTGAACTGTCACGCTGAACGTTCATCCTCAACATCCTTTAAAGTTGTAGAGAAAGTTTGTTTTTTTTTTTTCATGTAGCCATTTTCAGGGACCTTAATGACTTTACTGTCTTTAAGGCTTGTAACATGGCTTTACTATTGCCAGCCCTCTGAATTTCTGCAGAAACACATTCAGGTGTAGAGAAAGTTTTTATATGGCATTTTTGGGAAAAAAATTTTTTCCCTCCCCTGAAAAAGCTCTTCCAACAGAAGTAATTGACAGTATCTGTTCAGTAACTTACAGAGAGAAGGAGAGAGGAAGAGAGAGGAGAGAGAGAGAGGGGAGTGCTTTTATGCAAATTTGATTTCCCTATAATAATCTAGAGCTATTCTGCTAGAAGGAATTATCTCCGCAGGCTGGCAGCTGTGGTAGGCAGTGAATTAAAAATGGCTCTGTGTATGGGAAAATCTGTTCTATAATCAGTGCTATTCTTGGAGGGGACATCAATCTAGCCCAGCTCCCATGATGCTCCACTTGTGTGAATGACATACGAGCGTGAGGTAGAAACTCTCATTACATCATGGCTGAGGACTGTGCCCCACCTGAGACTTGGCACCGCTGCCCAGAGACGGAGGCGGACCTCATGGTGGCCTCCATGGCCTCCAATCAGACCGTGTGGCCAATCCCCTTAGCATAGGAAAGAACACAGGAGAGGAAAAGCAAACCTTTCCACAATGATTTATTCAAATCAGCTCTAATGTACTGTCCACTACTTTCCTTCCTTCCCTCCTTCCTTCCTTCCTTCCTCCCTTCCTTCCTTCCTTCCTTCCTTCCTTCCTTCCTTCCTTCCTTCCTTCCTTCCTTCCTTCCTTCCTTCCTTCCTTCCTTCTCCTCCCAGCTGTTCTCACGCAGGAATAAGGCTCAATTCCTAGGTCACCAGACAGGAGGCAAAGAAATGCTGTATCAGGGCTCTTTGCCCATAGCAAAGGCTCGTGCTACAGAAAAACAGTTTAAGTAGTAAGCCACCACCACAGTGCTTCACCTAAAATGTCATCACACTCTTAATGAGGCAGCCGCTTGGTCAGGAGAAACGCCCTGGCCCTGAGTGGCTAATATGTTTGAGTTCACTCGGACGCTGCATGCGGCAGCCCCTGCCACCCGTCGCCCACAAAGAGAACTTAGGCTGCACACACGTAAAGCCATTAGATGCCTCCACGTGAATCCTGTCTCCTTCATGAGACCATGGAGACCTTTGGGGAATCTGTGTCCCTGAGGTGTCCGCCTTCTTTCCCTGTCACAAGAGCCATCGTGGTGTCTTCCTGGAGAGAAGGCAATCGGAGCACCAACACATCAGACCGTGTGAGTGTGCTGCACACATGCCTGTCTCTCTGTCTTTGCAAAGGGACTTAATATGATCTAAGTCACTCAGTGTCCTTGAAAGTAACTAAGAGCAAGTGCCAGAAATGCCAAGAAATTGCATCTTCTAAACTAGCCTCCCCCTTCCCAACACTGTTAATAAACTGGCTTTGTAATGCGCCATGCCCATGAGCCCAGGGACCCACACGGCTGGGGGCACACTGAGCTCAGGGCAAGGTCGGGACCCTGCAATGTTGAGTCCTCCAGAGAAGGCAGAACTGGCTCCATTCGGCCGCCACCAGTGCGGGACCTGCTGAGACAGGGGAGAGCAGCCTCCCCCGGGGTTGGCAGAGCATCTCGTCTGCTTTAGACCACATGAGACTGGACAGCCAGGACCACATGAGACTGGACAGCCAGAGCCAGGACCACATGAGACTGGACAGCCAGGACCAAGATGGCTCTGAATAGCTGCACAGACTTGCAAGAAGTGCTGCTGGGTCCTTCAAAGGTGTCCCCTGGAGAAGGGGAAGTGTTCCTGCTCCCAGGCACCACCCTTCAGGGATCCACAACGGTCCCCCCCTTGCTGCGCATGCTCAAGTGGGAGCACTCTCACTGTGCTTTTCTTGGGTTCTGCTCTTTCCAGACATTTCTTTCTCAGTTACAGCAGCTATAGATGCCAGGCACCACCAGGCATGCATGTGCCTTTTAGCCCATTCTCATTCTTTCTCTCTCTTCTCTCTCTTCCCTCCCCCCCCCCCAGAGGGCTCTGGGCTCCAAAGTCCTGACAAAAGGCACAAGAGCTGCCTATATTATCACTTTGTTAGGAAAGCAAACTAGGGTAGGATTGCAGGGTTAATTTGAAAGACAGCTGCATCCATTTTGCTCATTACTCTTTATGTATAAACTGCAAATTGCATTTGAAAATATTTTCTTTAAAATAAAATTGCCGTTTCTGAGCCTCCTGCAGCACCCAGTGTCTGGGTAACGCAAGTAACCCAAGTGGGAATGGGGCATCATCCTCACCTCCTTTGCGGAGGTCGTGGGCCAGACCCTGCTGACCCTATTCCACAATGAATAAAGCAAAGGGGGGAATGTCATTGCTAAACCAATTATTCTCCCACATTGGGAAGCTGGGGCAGAATTAGCTTCACCAGCTTCTGGATTCAGTCTCTGGATTTTAAGAGGAGGCAACTGAAAGGATGAATCCTTTGTTTTGCTTTCCCATTGACCTCCTTCCCTTTCCCCCAGGAACCCTAGAAATGAGAATGGACCGTTTTTGTACACGAGACTTCAGCAGAAAGCATCCACTGTCTGGAAGTCGGGCACAGGGGTATGTGGCTTCATTTCCTTCTCTACAAAATGGGGATAATCACCAGGCCTCTTTTCCAGGGCTGTTATGAAAAACAAATCCGTCGGTTTATGTAAAGTCTCTCACAGGGTGTCTGGCATGTGGCTACCGCACAGTAAATGCAGACAGAGGGGCACGAATATAGACTCATCCCACTTCCTGAGCCTGCAAAATGGAGGCAACTGTTTAAAAGCTTTTTCTAAAAAACTCAATTGGAGTAATTCAACACCCGAACCCACAAATCAATTTTAACTTCGCCAAAGAGAGACAAACTGATTTTGTGCCTCCCGGTGTGATACAATAGAAAGTACACATCACCACCTATGAAGTGTTACCACCAAAATCACGGACCCAAACTCGATCGAGCTTCAGCACCTAACAGTTTCCAAGAGGAAAATGTGAACAGAGGAGCGTCGGGAGGCAAGCACCAGAACCCAGACTGTGGGAAATGCAGCCAGACACACGACCTGCCTCTTCGACAAACAAATTTCAAGCAAAGAATTAAAAAAGGAGTATCTTAGATTTTTAAAAAACAACACCATAAAAACCATATCCACCAAATGCAATAGGGGCTGCATTTTGATCCTTCTTTGAGCAAACCAAATATAAAATACCAGTCATTCAGAGGGGGCAATTTGAACACTAAGTGGGTGTCTATGATGTTAAAGGATTATTCTGAATTTCTTAGGTTCTCCTCCGTTTGGCTCTGGCATGGTTCTAGTGGCCCCCTTCTCCAAAGGAACGTGATGAGAGCCAGGGTCATGACCTCCAAGACTAGACTGTAAGAAGCTTTGCAAGGATGTCCAACCTGTGGCTCAGGATGGTTATGAATGTGGTCCAACACAAAATCATAAATTTTCTTAAAACGTGATGAGATTGTTTTGTGTGTGATTACGTGTTGCACTGTATTTAATGTGCGGCCCAAGACAACTCTTCCGCTTCCAGTGTGGCCCAGAGGCACCAAGACGTTGGACACCCCTGCTTACAGCTTCTACCCCTGTGTCTCAGAGCTCTTGTTCCTGGGACCCTCCCTCTTGGAACCAAGCACCCACAATGGGAGAAGCGCAAGCCGTGTGCAGAGACCATCTGTACAAACAGGAGTCCACAGCCCCACCGGACTTCCCAGCTGACCGTCACGTGAGTGAGCCACCCTTAGCCAGCCCAGTCATATCTTAAGACAACTGGACCCCAAATTAAATCTGATCATAATCGCATTGGAGACCATCCCTGAAAACTGCCCAACTGAGCCAAATGAAACCACAGAACGAGGCAAGGGAGCGATCAACTACCATTTTCAGCCCCTACCTTTGGAAGTGGTTTATTACACAGCACAAAATAATCAGAAAACTTTCTTTCTTAGAGCCATATCCTTAAGTATTTACAGAAGAAATGATACGGTATCTGGGATATTCAAATTAATCCAGTTGAGGTGGGGGGTATAGTTGCAACAAGCTCACCACGTGCTGTTAATTGTTAAAACTGGGAAATTGGATCATAGGGAGCAATTATACTCTTCCCTCTACTCTTGAATATTTTTGAAACATTTTCTAATGAAAGTTTTTTTAAGAGCTCTGCATTTATTAAGATGGAGTTCCGAGAGTACAGAGAAAAGAATATCAGATATTGGGTGATTCCGTGGTGGCAGACATCACAGATGTAATTTAAATACTCAGTATTGATACGTTCACTATTACCTGTCCAACCACAGGACGTCCACCTCTGAGAAGGCGGCCAATAGAATCGGGAGAATCTGGAGTTGAGGGTACAGTTCAAAGCCCAGCTTCACCTCTTTTTAGCAGGCAGTCCTCAGGCACCTTCTCCAGCATCTCTGGGTTTCACTACCTCAAGTGCAAAGGATACTTTTCCTGATGAGGCTGCCAAAGTCTTTTAACAGTTAAAGGGGCAACGTACACACTATAAAAGTGCCCTGAAAGTCTAGGTGCGAGCTGTAATGGAAAGGAAACCGTTTACTCTAAAGGCCTTGGCTATGCCCTATCACTACAGGTCATCTGCCTACCAGTGTAAATGATATTACATTTCTGCTCTTTTATATCACATTCAAGAGCTGGACAGATCTTTTTTCATGCTGAGGATGCATTTGGGATGGCTGGTGAAAATGTAAGCCATGCAGGCTATGTAAGTTTCTCTTGGGGGAGGGGTGCACCGTGGAGCCAGAGGCACCCGTCGCCAAGTGCATCAGAAACCAGGAGCAATGTTTGGACGAGAAGACCTTGTGTGTGCAGGTGAGAGGTCAGTCACAGTGCTTCCTGCACCGGGCAGCTCTGCAGCGGGTCCTGCCCAGTGAGTGCCTCAAATATGCATTATTTCAGGACAGCTGATTATTCTCCCAAACAACGCCAAGGAGGCTAACAAGTCATTAACTTCACTAATAAATTAAATCAATCCACTAATATGTGTGCTGCTATATGGAAAACTAGAATTCTATGTACATCTCTCGTTATGTAGCGAGCTCACAGAAAGCCAAATATCTGTAATTGAAGCAGATTCCTCCATTAA